ATAGTATTATAATATTATAAATATTTATAATTAAATTTAAACAGAAACTCGAATAAATCAACTCGACTCAACTTAAATTTTATAAACTCGACTCCAAGTCAAATTCAAGTTATAAAAAAAAAAACTTATCAACTCAAATAACTCAAATTTTTTTAACTCGACTCGACTTGATAGAACGCTCACCCCTAATTTGTTAGATATTTTAATTTTTAAAATTAGATTAATTAGATCATAATCTTTTACTTTTTAATAAAATTAATTTTATGTTTATTTTTTATTTTAAAATTAGATCAATTAAATATTGATCTTTCATTTTTTTTTGGAGTACAAGTACCTTTCAAATTTAAAATAAACAAATTAAATTCTAACCTCTTTATTTTAGATTTTAAATTCATCACTTAGCAATTAGACTCCGACTATTGTTCTTTCTAGATTTTAAAATAAACATATATTAAATGAGATGTGCAACACGAGAACTTCTTAAAAATTGTCTATCCTAACACTAGTTATATATGTATCTTAGTTCACATAATATAAATAGGGGTGTATTCGGTTTGATTCGATTCGGTTCATGCAATTTTTCGATTTTCTCAGTTTCGTTGCTCAACCCTAATTATAAATATGTTTCATATAATATTTAAATTGAAATTCAATATTTTTTTGGACAATAAATTGTGGAAAATATATATTTGGATATTTCAAGGGTTCAGCTACGATATTTGAATGTTTTGAAATTTGAATTTATAATTTTTTATAAAAAATAATGTTATTTTTTTCGAGGAATTATATTCGAGCAATATCTACATGTTGTATATACGTTATTAATAGTTGAATTGTTTTAAAGAAATAAATGTAGATTAGACTAGTAACATATAACAACCTTAAACTCTAGCTAGGTTTAAACAGATGGGGGAAAAAAATCTGGAAAATCACGAGACATAAACCAGATGTCCACCTACCAAATCCCAGTACCAGTAGCAGAAACCATATGAAAACATTTGCGTTTCGAAAATGATACTCAACAACCACACTAACACTAGGGATGGATCGACAGTTGCACCGTCTAGAATTTTTAATTTTTATTTTATATTTTTTTTATATTTTCTATGGATTACTTAATTTAGAACATTTAAAATTTTATAACTCTACACCCTCTAAAAATTTTAATATAATTTCTTAAATTAATTCCCGCCCGTACTTGACTAACACCATTATATAACATCACCTCCAACATTTTCCCCTTCACTTTATTAATCCATGGAGATTTTAAGCTTCTCCTACAAAAGTTCCACTTACACTTCCATTTCCTTCTTTTTCCTGCCATTTCTGCTCTCCGTACTATGCCACAATGGTACCGATATCGTCCCGGTAGGCTCAGCGGCACCGCCATTGGGTGTCTTGGCGCAACTATTGATGTTCAAAGACCAGAGACTTGCCGTTGTTTACCCCGTAATCCAAGCATTCAAGAGAACGATCACAGAAGATCCGCTTAACAGGACGGGGAATTGGGTCGGACCGGATATATGCAGCTACACGGGCTTTTACTGTGATAGCCCACCCGACAATGAATCCGCCGTTGCCGTCGCCGGCATTGACTTCAACGGGTTTCTGTTAGCGGCCCCAACACTGGAAGGTTTCGTTGATAACCTCCCCGACCTGGCTATCTTCCATGCAAACTCAAACAGGTTCTTCGGTTCCGTACCGGACGTCTCGAAGCTCAGATATTTTTACGAGTTGGACATAAGCAACAACGGCTTCTCCGGCACATTCCCGACGACGGTCATGGGAGTAAAAGACTTGTCGTTCTTGGACATCCGTTTTAATTCCTTCGCCGGGGGAGTTCCGCCGGAGATTTTCAACCAAGAACTCGAAGTCCTCTTCATCAACAACAACGATTTCACCGCCAAACTACCGGAGAACTTCGGTTCGACGCCGGTTCTCTACCTCACCTTGGCGAACAACCGGCTAACCGGTCCGATCCCGCGAAGCATACGCAACCTTAACTCGACATTAGTCGAGGTTTTACTGCTGAACAACAAGTTATCAGGTTGTCTCCCTTACGAACTAGGGTTTTTGAAAGAACTTAGAGTCTTCGACGTCGAAATCAACCTATTAACTGGTCCACTGCCGATCTCCTTGTCCTGCTTGGAGAAAATCGAGCTGCTTAACTTTGCTAATAATCTGCTCTACTGGGAAGTGCCTGAGGAACTGTGTGCGCTTCCAAACTTGGTGAACTTGTCCTTGTCGGATAACTTTTTCACCAAAGTAGGTCCGGCCTGCAGAAAGCTGATAAAGAATGGTGTTCTTGAGTTGAGACAGAACTGTATCCCCGGTCTTCCCGACCAGAAATCATTGCAAGAATGTGCTGAGTTCTACGTGAAGTACATTAGGTCGTGTCCGGACCCTGAGTCGTATAAAGTCATCCCATGCAGGGAGAATGCTCCAAGGAACCATCATTTGGAAGGGTCCAAAACCATGACCAAGACCAGGAAAGCTCCCGTTACTTACAAAACTCTTTCAAGACACAAGTTTTAAGGTTTCTTTATCGGTTTGGTTTTAAGATTTATGTTTACGGTTCGAATGTTATCTTCACATTTAAAAAACACGACGTTTGATCGTATTGGCATTGTGTTTTACTACAAGGTTCTTAATAAGTTAATGACAAATGTGGACGTCACCGTTCGTATATGTACTACTGTTTTGATTTTGGATATTAAGAAGCACTCTCGAAGTTGTTTGTTTGTATATTGTCCACTTTTTATGTAATAGTAAGCATCAATATCATCTTTTTTGGCTTTCTTTATTGTTACCAAAAAAAATATCATCCTTTTTTAAATCAACAGTCTAATAGTTTATGGAACAAGGGGCCATCGCGGTCTTTCTTTAACCTAATTTTTTCTCTTAATATTTTTGTGTCGCCTTATTTTCTTCAATTGTTTTTTGTTTAGTTGACAGATCTTAATATTAGTTGTCAATCGTCGGTAATTTTTTTTTTCATATTATATTTTTTCTTGACTTTTTTCATTTTTAAATAAAAATCTTTGTTCTACTGACATATTTTTCTATACTCTTGTAGCACATTCCCTATAGTTTTCGATAAGTTTTTTTGCATACTTCTGCGGTCGTGTTGGTGCTTCCACAAATATCTTCACGCCATTTATTTTTTGATTGGCTTGTCAATGAGCACATATTGTCTGATCCACTCTTTTGTAAATGGTTGTTTGTCGAAATAATTTGAATTATGTAGCGAAGCAATCTGCTAAATTGTTTGGTTCGCTCACCACTCCTTTATCATATCGTAGAGCGTCTCATTTGACAGAGACAATGAGTTTCATGAAGGTTATTGGATTATTTTGATGTTTGGAATGTTTCATTATATTCGTATATTTGAGTTTAATATTTTTATTTTATGTATGAGTTTTTGGTGATCATTGTCTCCAATTTTCTCTTTAGATGTTTTGTAATTTTGATTCTTCCATTTTTAAATAATGAAATTCAGTTGTCATTGTTCAAAAAAAATTATGGATTAATATTTGGATTATTCAACGATTATCAATTAATTAGATACCAGCATGCTATCATAAAAATTTAATATTAAAAATGAATTTAATATTTGTACATTGCATTATATGAGACCTAATTCGTGTAACCGCAAGGGAGGCCTACGCACCATCCATCGACCATCAAATTAAAACCACGAATGGATGAGTACCATAAAGACATAGGAACCCCATGGCAATAAATTCCCAGAAACCAAACCACACATTAGTTTATATATGTACTCTGTCCCTGTCCTAGCCACAGCCTGTTTGTGTTAAATAAAGTATTGTAATAACATCTTACCATATATATATATATATATATACACGAGACAAATATATTTATAATTGTCATAAATAAAATATAACAGTTAACGATCGGTGATAGAATAATGAGCAAGAGCTTGAACAATTGAGGTATCGACATATGAAGAGAAGGTACTACGACATTCTCCAGCACCAAACACAGAAAATAAAAATTTGAAGAATATTTAAATCAAATGAATGAAAAACACAGAGAAGATATAATTTTATATTTTAAAAACAAGATTGAAAATTCGAATTCAAAAGTTTTTGAATCTCCAAAATGATAGATTTGCAGTTTTGGACGGAAGCTTGAATATTTGGGAACAACACAGAGGTGACGTAAATGTAATAAAATTCGTAATAATTATGTTTTATTGACACACCGACGCTCTTGCTTTCAATCTTCTGCCGCAATGTACGCTTTCGTTCACGTGAATCACGTGACCTCTCTGGTGAAAAACAGAACCGAAAGGCCAATACCCCCGATAAGATACTTATCCGCACGCGCCTCCAAGCCACTTATTTGAAGCGTTGTCGATCACATAGCTTCGTGGCGCGTAACGCTTCATACTCTTTCCCACGTTCGAAAAATCTTAGAATTGTACCTACCGGGTTTTGCTAACCTTACCGTCCGGTTTCTCACCCTCGCACCATATCTTTCCACAGAATGTAATCCTTCCACCACCGACATTTTTTAATATTTTTTTTGAATTCTACTTTAGAATCTACTTTTATTTATTTGTCATAAATAAATTTATATCTAAATGTATTAATAACTCAAAAAGCATAATTAGATGATAGATATCTATATCTTAATTCATTATCTACGAATTAAGGCTTAAAGGACAATTAATTATGTTCCAGTACTTATTATAAATGTTAAAATTTCAAAATTATAATTATTTTTATAATTATTATATATTATAATAAATTTTATAAGAATATAATAAATTTAATGATTTTTAAAAAAAATTAATAGTTAAAACAATAATTAAAGTACGATTTAGTGTACTTCATCCAAAAATTAAAATCTCAAGTTCTTTTTACTCCCTACTGTTCTCTCATTGACCAAATAGGACTTACCATTTCAAAGCTGGGATGCGAAATTCCCGGTTTTATAAACAGTTCTGAGCACTCATATTTTGTAGAAATATATGATAAAGGATGAAACTTTTATAAATATTACAATTCTGTACCTGAAAAGGAAGAGAAAGAAATTGCAAACGATAAAATTTGCAGAGATTAATGGACCTTGAAAATTGTATCAATCGTCATCCTCACCCGATGATGAAGAAACGGACAAAGGCGATGATGATGTCGAATTCTTACAAAACTCATATTTCTTACCGTTATCGTACTCTTTGCCGACGATGAAATGTCCCAGAGAATCTACAATTTCCACCAAATTTTCGTCGCACAAAAACTCGTTGCTAAAGCGGCTTTCAACGTCCCTCTCGATTTCATGCACGAAAACGTGGGTTTCCCCACCGCTCTTCTTGCTCCTAGCCAACACCGCCGCCGTAAAAATCGGAGCCATCCTCCCCGGAGCATCGGGGAAGTAGCCGCGTGGACCGTCGATCAATATTACATCCCAGCTCAAATCGTATATGTGGTTCGGCATGTCGTTGATCCCGAGCTTACAATCGGAGAACAGGAGGTTCTGCACCGGTCTGCACTCGTCTCCCGTGTGGGATTTCGCCAAGGATAACAGTTCCGGCATCTTTTTCACTTTGGTGGTGTACTGAACATCGTACGCTTCGATCTCCGGGTGGCTGCGCTCGAACGACGAGACCAAATACTCGCTCTCGTCGAGGAAAACGGTGTGGCCGTGGATGTTAAGGGAGTGCCAGAGGAGGGATTCATGGGTGAGACCGAAGACAAGGAAACGGCAAGGCGAGGAAGGGCAGTTATGGAGAGTCGAAGCAATGAGGGAGAGTTCGGGAGACGACATGTGGAGGGTGGTGATGTTAACGGTGGAAGCATAGTGGAGGAGGGCGGCGGTGACGGGAGAAGGTAGGGAGGAAGATGCTGCGGTGGAAAGAGAAGGGGTAGCGGTGGTTGAAACGGAGTTGGTGGTGAGAATAGTTAAGGAGAAAGCTAGAGCGAAGAAAGTGATGAAGAAGAGGAGGAAGAGACGGTGGGGGGAAGCGGCGGCGGGTTTGTGGATCGATGGGTGGAGGAGAATCAGCTTCGTGTTAGCGTTGCTGTTCTTCATGTTCTCTTCTCTCTAGAATTCTTTGATGGCGGTTTTCGGAAGTTGAGATTAAAAGCAAAGAGGAGAGGAATCACGGAGGAGATTGAGAGATGAATCTGAGCACGAATCTCGAATGAAATGGATTGACCTGGGGGAACAAGGAAATAGTAGAGGAAAGAAAGTGGTGGAGATTATTTATTGGAGGAGGAGGTGGAGCCGGAGACCGTGTCTGTAGTTTTATTACACTTTAAGCGGTGGCTGTTGTCGATGATGTTTGTTTGTTTCTACCTCGGTTGAAGTACTAATTAATTCGGTATTAACGGATGAGGGAGGATGTTGTTTGATAATTGTCTTTGAATGATTTAGAATGTATTTTTGTATTGAATTATTAAATACTATTTTACTGAATCAATCAGCATTGAATCATTTAGAGGTACGAAATAAACGCGTTGAATAATTCTATTAAGAGGCAAACAAACAACCCCTAAATCATAAAACATGAGATTCGAAGGTATGTTTATAGTGAGCGGTTCATCTATTTTTCAGTATTGATCAAAAATATTAATAATTTTATTTAGTGCGAAGGTCAATAATATAATTATCATTATTATTTGTAAATTGACATATTAGATAAATTAAAAAGTCAAAATTTAGATTTTGTTTTGTTATATCACGTGAACTTAAGAGTGTTGATAATTTTAATAAATTTGATCTATCTTGAACGAAAAAATATATTTGAATCTATACATTTGTATATATATATTATAACAATAATAAATTTAATTAACTATAATCTTTAATTTTTTTTTAAAAATAATGATGCCAACGAAATTAAATTAAAAGTATCCGTTGTTTGAATCAATGTGTAATACTATAAACAACATAGGGTTTACGTGTGAGTGGACTCGGTAAAGGAGCGTGAGGCATGGAGAAGGTAATTGATGGATGACGTTGGAACAAATAAGCATGCATTTATTAGATCGAACTTGTTTTTTTTTAATTTACTTTACTTATTATATATCCTATGCTGCTGCTTATGGTCCTAATTATCAGTAATTTATTCTGTATTATTATTAATAATATTGATTTATGAGATAGGATGTTTGGGTTTTAAGTTTAACCAACTTGAGCTTTTTGAGTTCCTCATTTTCCAAGTATGATTGCATATTTTACTCATAAATTAATTGGTCACTCCTCACTCAGTTACATGCATTATTATCATAATATGGCATGAGTTTGGAGTGATGTATACACATCGATATGCATCATTAATGATGTGCGCTGATATGTATAACTAATACAAAAATATAGAAAATTCGTAAGTGAATTTAAAATAATTTTATTTGTCATTAGATTTATAAAAGTTATAAAATAATCATTAAAGTTAGGATTTTATAAAAAAAAAAAAGAGTAGAGAATGTGAATTTTTGTTGAAGGAGAGACGTTGAATGCTAAATTAATAGAAAATATATTATTTGGCCCATCAATTATAACTGAAATTTCATTTTTGATATATTTTTAGTTATTTTTAAGTAATAATTTTTAAAAAAATAGAATTTTTAAAATTTATATATGAAAACAATTTATTTTTAAAATTAAAAATTATTTTTTAATTTTTTTTCATTCATCAGATTATTTTTAAACTAATTATTTATTAATTATGATCATATTTGTAAAATAAAAAATTTATAATTTTTGAGATCCAAAAAAAGAAATTATCAAATAATGTAATTATTTTTTTATTAAACTATATGATTCAAACATTTGAATTTTGTTTAAGAAGTTTAAACACAATTTTAAAAAATACATCCAGAATCATAAAAATAATCGAAACAATCTTTAACTTTTAATAATGTATCGAGTAATTTATATGGTATAAATTCAATATTTATAATATGATACTAAAAATAATATTTAATTTATTTATATCCATTTTGTTTTTAATTAAAAAACATAATAAAAATATTTTAATTAAAATTAACAGTAAAATGAAATTTTAGTTACAATTATTGAGACAAATGAGATATATATTTTTATTAATTTAGCATGTTAAATCACCTCTTTAATGATAGATAATGGCGTTATGCTTATTTTAAAATAAACTATAAAGTTTAATGTATATTATACAACTTTTTAAATGATGCAATTAAATTATTAATCATTAACATTTAATTCAGAATGTGATAAGACGGTTAAAAATTTTGATATAATTATATATTTAATTCGTGTTTTTGCTGGATTTTCTGTTGTATAAAACCATTTTGTTAGGTCACTTTGCAAGAAAAATCATAACAAAAACCCCTTGGTAGGTAGGGATGGCAACGGGCCGGGTTCGGGTCGGGTATTGGTCCCCGTCTCCGTCCTCGTTTAAAAAACTCGTACCTATCCCCGCTTAAAAAATCGCGGGGATTTAAACGGAGATCCCCATCGGGTAATCGAGGAAAACGTCGGGGAAACGAGTATCCCCATTTAGCGTAAACGGTTATTTAAACGGGTATCGGGTCGGGTATATATATTTAAATTAAATATATAAATATTATATATATTTAATTTAAATTAAAATTATTAATATTATATATATATATATATATATATATATATAATTATTTTTAATATTTACCGGGCCAGGTAATCAGGTAATCGGGGTGGGGATTACTAAACCCGTCCCCGTCCCCATTTAACATAAACGGTTTTCCCTTGTCCCCATCTAGCATAAACAATTTTTTTTCGTCCCCGTTTAATTCGATTTTCGATTTTCCTCGTCGAGTTCAGGTTTTTTTTTGCCATCCCTATTGGTAAGTGTGTAGGTGTGATTAAGTTACAACTCAAATTAAGCGCTAAACGCCAGGATTAATGATAACAAAACAAAAGCTTGTCTTGATTAAGAGAAAAGGGTGGGCATTGATTACTCTTTCGAAAAAAAGGATGAGTTAGGTGCCGCAGTCTTAATATACGGTTAAATAAAGACGCTATCAGAAATATTAATATTTTTAACATTTCTGGTAAAACATTTTCTAAAACATTATTTTTTTTCTACCGAAAATGTTTAATATTTCCGGTAAAACGCTACCTAAAACGTTATTTTTTCTACCGAAAATGTTAATATTGCATTCTACCGGAAATTAGTCAATGAAATTAACATTTCTGGTAAAAAAATAATATTTTAAATATCGTTTTACCGAAAATGTTAAAAAAATATTAACATTTCTGAAAAAAAAATTTCTTTAACTGTATATTAAAGTTGTCATACAACGGAACTATCCCTTGAAAAATATGTACCCATCTCACCCTACACTCTTTCGATATAAAAAAATAGTTATATTATTGTACAATATTTTTAATCATTTTTCAATAAAAATGTTATTTTTAATCACATAATGAGTGATGGAATTTCTATATCTACAAACATTTTAATTATTTAATAACAATATTTTAACACGTGACTTCTTAAACCACATTTTCTTCACTAATACATTTTAAATAATATTTTTTTATTTAGCTAACGTGATTGTAAAATAATATTTGTTCTAAATTTTCTCAATCATCTGACAATAAACACTCAATCACCCTCCAGTAGCCGCTAGTATTTGAACCCGTGACCTCTATAAACAACAACAATCCTTTAACCGCCGAAATAAATTGGTTCGTGCACCTTTTAAAAATATTTTTTCTTAACAGTTTTTGGAAGCAATGATAAACTAACCTTTGACCTATGGTTCTCAATTGAATTAATTTGACCAATTCATTTATGATGGTTATGGCGGTTAAAATAAGTTGTGTCAAGTTGATTATCGTCTATAAATTTTTATATTTTAGTTGATTGACTTAATTAACTTTTAATATATAATTTTAGAAATATTATAATATATAAGTGTTTAACTAAAATCTCAATTCACTTTAATTTAATTTAATTTAATTAAATGAATCGACTTAACTGAATAATACTAAATCTGTCTATTAATATATTAAAGGGTAATGGTTCCCTAACTATAGGATATTGTTTTATTAAGTCTCTCGACTATTAAAAATTACAAAATGTTCACTTGACTATTCATTATATTTCAAACTCGTATTTTTTCATTAAAAAAATCAACGACCATCTAAGTTGGACGTTAACATACTGACTGAGATATGATAATCGATTGGGATTATGATATCATGTTTTATCATTTCTCAGTTAATAAATTAACGTACAACTCAGACTGTCGTTAATTTTTTAAAGGAAAAAGAAGAGTTTGGAACATAATGAATAGTCAAGTGACCATTTTGTAACTTTTAATAGTCAAGAGTATTAATAAAGTAACTTCCTATATTCAAAAAATTATTTTGTAACTTTTAATAGTTGAAGGACTTGATAAAATAATTTTATAGTGAAACGGACATTTATATTTACCCTATATCAAAATAAAACATTTGATACTTGAATTGGTTTTTAAAACTTTTAATCCAATCAGGCGATTATTTCCTTGTGAAAAGGAAGATGGCCTTGTCGAGTTCACGGACGACCCAATTTAAATAGGTAGAAGCAACCCACACGACATCTCAAGTCAAGAAGCCCAGCTATCTCTACCCATTTCATTATTATTATTATTGTTGGATTGATTAAAAAAATGCACAAATTTCAGTGTTAAAATTGAAACATTTTAAAGTTTGATGGTAAAATTTATATAAACAATAAAATTCAGTGACATTTGGAATAGTTCATCCAAACTTTTCTATCAGACAAATAGAGAGGATAGTAAAAAATCAACGTAGATGCAGGAAATATACGTATATGGTTTACTTCAAAAGCATTAATGATTCTAGCTAAGCCAACGTTAACCCTTGCTTTTTAACAGGCTCACCAGACAGGATTAAATTCCTCAATTCGACGTGGAAGTCGTACACGGCAACGGCGACCGACTTAAAGGGAGATCTAGAACGCTTGTTTCGTCCGTGTACTGGAAAAACAATAGCCAAGATCATGATCTCTGCTCTCGATCTCGGCGTCACCTTTCACTCGAACGTTTTATATGCAGGGCAGCTCTAACAACGTTTCCCCTCGTAATGATTCCTACCTTTGAGATGCAAATAGAAATCAATCAGAAATCATCCCTGGCTAATACGAATTCAAGAAGCATATATCGGTGTATGTGTGTGTGCACGTGTGTTTGTGTATACGGAAACATATAAAGAA